ACTGTCAGAGGAAGGAAGGACGGAGCCGAGAGGGAAGATGAAGCGGAGGAATAAAGGATTGTTTTCCTGTTTGGCTTTGGAGGGGACCAGCGAGGACGTGACGGAGGAACCTGGGGTCTGGATGGACAAGTCACGGACAGATCGGCTCGCATAGTCACAACACTGCAGCCTCCAGACTAAAACGAGAGGGACATCTAGTGGTGGAGAGGAAATCAACCACCACCAGCTTACAGATCCCTCCGAAATCTAATAATGCTAAAAAAAAACAATTTATATTTGTTTCGTTTTTACATTATCAACATTTAATGAAAATCATATTCATCAACTAATTAAAGTTGTTAACGCCGATAAGAACACCTCATGTAACTTTCAAGGCGAGGAGTAATGATACGTATTTAGTAAATGTAGACACTTCATAGTCCTTTAGGAGTTGAAGTAAGTCAAGCTAATGGAGAAATATACACGTTGACGTACTATGTGTGTGGTTGTTGTTGGAAGGAGTGAATTGTTTTTGGCCGAGAAACTTGAGACATTATTCACAGCAATGTGTTAATACTTATAATTAGAGAGCCAAATTTGTTATTTGTATTTGTTGATCAGTCTTCAAATGTACTGATATAAAAAAAACACCAATGACAAACTGTGAAAAACAGTTGTTGAGGTCTACATGTTCATTCGAGTTTAATTTGATAGCACCGTTTTTTTCTGTTGCCCTTTTGTTTAGTGGAAATCCAAAGCTAACCAACTTGTATAAATGTCCCTCGTATAGCTGGAGCGGCTTTACATTCATCTGAAGATAAGACTAATGATAATAATAATAATGATTGTTCAGTTTTTATTGTCAACTTGATTTATTTAGGAGAAAACAAACTTTTTTCATGGCTGTTTTTACTTTTTAGCTAGAATTCTGTATCTCTTTCTGCCGCTCTGTGACTGCAGATGGACAGACTGACCTCCGGCCCGGTGGAAACCACTCTCATCTGTTTGTGGACGGTAAGCATCAGCATATCAGTGTGAAACTGGCACCGCTAACCTGCACCATGTAGCCCAAATGAATCAACGCGCTCTTTCTCTTAAAATAAATAAAAAAGGTGAACTCTGAACGGACACAATAATGTGAGGGTTAAATGGAGCGTTGTCTTCGTAGAGGGACAGAAAGTTGTAACCTTTTTTGAAGGCAAACTTCAATGAAAACAATGTGATTGGTTTTCATATGGAACGAACACACGAAATATCAAATTATATTTGGTCTTAAATGTTCATCAGCACATGTGCGCTGTGGATCTTTTAACCGTTGGATGGAGTCAGACCAGTTTTTCCCTTTTGCTTCCATCTTTGTGCTGAGTGAACTAACCGCTTGCCAGCGGTGGCATCGTTTTGAACAAGTCGTATATGAATGAAAGAAAGAAAATAATCGTATTTCCCAAAATGTCAAACCAAACAGCAGCTCCCACAGGCCTGGAAAAGTGAGTATTTCTTCAACTGAATATCACACTCATTAGTTAAACCATTAGGAATTTTGAACGCTATGATGCGGTGCGTACTTAATAGGCTATTAGTGTTAAACACAAACCTGTGGGAACGATAAAAACGTTAACCTGTGTAGGAATGTTTCAGTTTCTAAATGAAGTAGTTTCACATTTCCACAATGCTAATGACAGCGCAACTAATTCTCTCCATTTACATCTCATCAGTCCCCAGTATCACTCATCAATGAGTTTGTGCAAAGTGGTGCAGCCCAACGGACAACATTTATCCTCCGAAGAGTCACTCTCGTCCTCATTGTCCATCCCCCCCCCCCACCCCCCTCCCTCTCTCTCTCTCTTCCCCTCTCTTTTCACTCTGATATTGTGTCTCTAACGAGTCACGTCCATCTAGCAATTATTATGAAATTAAAGCTATTTTCCGTGGCCGATGTTTGCCCCGGTAATAGCCGCACTGAGATAGGATTCATTCATTTAGCATTTTAGTTCAGCTCAATTCCTGTCGCATTAGCAAGAGGAGCAAAATCAGAGTGTCACTCAGATATTCGGTTTAATGGTTCGGCGATGGCCTGGCCTTTTTTTTTTCTCCTCTTTTTCGATCCTCCTAACCCTATCTCCCCGCCAATTACGCTGTTTAATCTATATGTAGATAATGGTGTCCAGGACCTCCCTGTTGAAATGTCAGGTGTGAAGAGGTTATTAGCTAACTTTTAATTACTGTCCATCATTCACCAGCCAGCAGGACAGATTGGCCCTCTCCGACTGTCCGCTATCTGTTCTCTGATTGTTGGCTGCAGGCGTGCAAAAGGAAGGTATTTAGGAAGCACCGGGTCTCTGACCTGATATCACCAATTTCACAGTACTAACAGGACTTAGCGTGTGGAAAATAAGGCACCAGGTAAATCATGTGTCAGAAAGTTTAAGCGAAGAAGATCATGTGTCAAATAGTTCAATGATGTGTTTAAGATGATTTCAAAGTTGAGGAGCAGAAAATTGTGAATTGCACAGAAACCACAAACTTTAAAGAAAAGCAAGAAACTTAATCAAGATTGTAGTCTGTGGTTCTATAGATGATGAGTTATTGAATGTTTCCATGACCTGAAGAACCTGCAGGCAAGGTTTAAACAGAGAGAAAAAGTTGATTTGGCTGGATTTTCTATTTCTCTGATTGTTTTAAAAGTCTGCAAACCATTTTGGTGAACTTCCCCCTGCCCCTGCCTTAAAGCCTCCATTGTATATTTAAAGACCTGCAACCCCTGACCCAAATTCTCCTGCTCCCCATTTCCATTCCTGCTCTGCAATACTTGCATTGGGGCCCAAAATAATATGAGCACTGGCCATGAGCTCTGAGGTCTGTATATATCACATCGCAGATTGCAATGAGCAACTTCAACTACGAATGAAATGTTCCTTGGTTGAAAATTTATATTTTTAAATTGTGTCATAAAACTCAAACTAATCAACGTCGTATTAAATGATGCAAAACCACTGCACATTTTGGCATTTTCATGCTGCAGGTTTCTTCATAACTCCTGCTGGTGTGGACAAGAGATGACTTACAACTTGCAGGTTTTGTGAAATGCAAGAATGAGACGAGACCTTTTTACAGTAAGCACTTATTTGTTTGCAAGGTGTAGGATTTGTCTGGTGCTCTTTGTTCCCAATGCATTTAGAATGAAGGGATCTCAGCACTATGCTACACTGGGTTTGTGTGCATTTGCCAACATATATGGACCGTGTGCATGACCGATACCAATGAAAGCAGAGCAGGCTCATATAAGACAGAGCCTCAACATTAGATTCCAGATAGACATGTCTTCATTTATACTACTAAGAAGAGACACACACACACACACACACACAAGAGCACACTCACCTGCGGGGAGAGTGATCACTATTCAGCCCTTGAACTGTCTTTGAGCGCATTTACTATTTTCAGAGCCGAGTGCTGCTGATTACAGAGCGCAGAGAGAAATACTTCCCGAGCTCGCTTTTTTTTTTCTTCTTCCCCCTCGCCATCTTTTACAGCTTACAGACAAATTCCGTTGGAGGCAGTGAGCTGTTATTTCTGCAGACATCCTCCCTGTGATGGAGGCTCTTGTTACAGAGCGCTGCCTCTGGTTCACACACATAAACAGAGACACACGTATCCGCTGTGCGGAGACATTTCTCCTTGTTTTTTTCCGGGGAGAAAAACAGAAATACACAGTTGGTAAATCTAAACAAAAATCTTAATTGCCGAGATATTTGTGGAACAACTTCTTGCTTTCTCCTTCACCCTCTCTCCCTCCCTCTCTCTCCCTCTCTCCCCTTTTCTCTCCCTCTCTCTCTCCCTTTCTCTATCATGGCCATACATGCCTCTGTGCTATCAAAGTCCATGTAACCTTGAGCATTTGTGTTTTTGCAAAGAACAGCTAAACTAACCATCCACTAGAGAGCATCATTCAGCCGACTAATGTGTTTCATCCCCACATACCTGCCTTTGAACTGGAGTTTGTGTGATATTGAAGACTTTAAGTGGAGCCTCCCGGTTCTGCGAGGGGTTTTGTGTGTGTTGGGACTCTGCTCTCTGAGCTCTGTGGTGAATTACAGCTGACCCATGGAGACCTCGGGCCCCGCTGCTCCTACCTTTAGAACCCCCGTCATCTGGATCCCATCGGGCTCAGGTGGGGGGGGGGCAGAGCAGAGCCCCCTCCGTTTGACACAAGCAAAGGAGCAGACGATGGAATGAAGGTCCACTACAGTGTGCATGTTTGTGTTTAACAACTGTTTCAGTGTGTGACGTGTACCATGGTCTTTTTTTTTAAATGCTTATGATTAATTACCTTTTTTAAAGTGGGGGGGACTTCATTTTGAATATCTTAAGAGACACAATTACTTATGCCGATCGGATCAATTGTTCTGATAAATGTGTTTCTGAAATGCACAAAACAGCACATCTTGAAAGAGTGACATCCAAATAAAATGGATAGAAGGAAATCATTGAACCACTGCAAACAGGTGTAGCAAATATAATGAATAGCTGCACCAACACACCAAAACAAATCTGTTCTGAAGAGTTGCTGCCCTCTGCTGTAACACTTTATGCATGAAATCTTTCATTAAAACAAGTTAGAGTATAGAATTTATACTTCAGAGACTTCAAAACATTAATTCAGGTAACACACGGTGATCAAATGTTATCACCTATAAAGATTAATAGGTATTAAATAAAAACTTTTCAGCTATTTAAATGATTTTGTTTTAAATTAAATCATGCTTCCAAGCACATATCATAAAAACAATCATTCCATCAATTAATAATCAAGAAAATATAGGATATTTAGGATAATGACACTTTCCATTGGCATTTCCATAGAACTGGGTTTAAAAAACATGTTCCCGGATAAGACTGACCTTATTGTTATTGTGGACAATTTGAATGCTTTTCAATGGGTTGTTTGTATTAGACTGTAAACAGACTACAGAAACCATTTCTCCTTTAAATAACTGAGAATCAAGACCATGACCAGGACATTTGATATGTGACAATTGTTTATTACAAAAGCATTTCAAAGGACAAGTGATTAATTAGCAATACGGCACAACACTAATGGTGTACATTGAATTCATTTTTCCTTACATCCTTGATACAGCGTATTGTTTGGGTGTATGTAACTCGGTGCTCAGTAGTACTACAAGAGAAGTCAGTGACTGGATGCATTTGGCTAAAACATCTCTATGGATATACCTTCATTGGTATGTTGAATGCATTGGCTGAGAGCGATAACAAACACACTGCGTGCTCTTTTTCTCACACACATACACACAATTACAGAAGGCACATGAATAAGTTGTTCTTTAAAAACTAAAATATGTTAGCACATTTCAAAAGGTGATGCAACTCCTCAAAACGTGCTTATTAATTCTGCCACTCAGCACAAAGTTAGTTATTTAGTGATTGTTAGATTATTAGTTCATTAGTGGGTTAGTTTGTTAGTTTGCAGATAGATATTAAAATTGTTTCGTTAGTCGAAGTTGATTTATCTTTAGCAGACGTTAGTAGGTTGTTTATAAGGACTTCCGGCGAGCAGGTCACTGACCCTGCTGGAGCAACAGGACTCCTAACAAGCATCCTCACTCATGGCACTAAAAGATGTTTGGAATAAAAAACTTCCATCTACTGTAATTTAATAAGCATCACTAGTGCCACAAGGCATGCTCGTGTATTTGATTAAAGAAGAACAAAGAGACGGGATGATTTGATTACACACATCAGGATGTTTCAGTCAGAAGGAACGCAGATGTTAGTAACAGCAGTAGGGTGGGTGTTTACAGCCTCACCAAGGTTAGTATCAATACCATAATAAGTTAGTGGTGGAGTTGAGGTTTGCTTGGTCTGAGCTGACAAGCAGCCAGGCACTCATCTGCAAGGGTTGACCACATAGGTCGAGACAGAAAGACGGTCTCTTAAGATGGGAATTTTAAAGCCTGTGATTTGAGACACGGTGACGTGATATTATTTTACGATCAGATCATGATCGGTTTTATGAGGATTCTGAAGTATGTGGTCAAACCAGTTGGATATCAGCAGCTGATTATCCTCCTCTTTCAATCTAGTGGTTAATAACATTTACCCTCCCAAGTCCTGAAACCCTTCTTGACTTGTTCACTTTTTTATTTTTTAACCGTTTTTATTGATTATTTTATTTTAATAATGCATCTTGGTCTAGGCTTTCTACAAGAAGGATTGCGGGATCATGAGAGAGGCGTGTTTGCATTGGACTGCGGGCATAAAGCAGAGGGTTAGTCAGGGGGTTAGAAAGAACAAAGCCAGCCATCAGCATTCGGAGAACAGGTTAGTAATCATCAGACTGTTAGCAGACATTAGTATTGTTAGATATTAGTCAGGTATTGTTAGTAGAACCCAGATCTCGGTAAAAAGCTATTTGCACATAATAATTAGCATTTGCTGCAGTATTGGATGATGGGGCGTTAAGCTTTGGAACGGTTTAATTGATGCTAGCAGGCATCGTTTAGAAAACTACACACCATTCATTTCCAGCCTGATTCCTGTAACTGTCTAGATCACAGGAACCCCCACCAAACTGCTTCAATGGGGTCCTAACAAATGCTAAGAATCATTTGTAAATATGTTTTAATCCTTTGTCTGGTACATTCAGTGTGGTATAGGAAGAGAGAAAAACAAATCCACTGAAAAGCAGCTCGAAGCTTCAGGCCAATTACAAAAGTGTGTTTTCATAGAGACACATGCAGATATACAGGAATAAACACACACACACACACACACACACACACACACAAATAGAGCACATGCACACAAACACATGCTCTCACGCCGGCACACACCTGCCCACACGCTTCAGTAAAAATACACTGAGTACCGTCAAACCATAAAAGTATCAAGACAAACAAAGAACATAATGTGTGAATTACACATTGTCAAAATGTGAGAAAACTAGTCTTTCTTAATCAGATAAGCAGATTATTTTTTTATGTTACAGGCTAAAAATATCAAAAGCTTTCTCGTCCTGGATCTGGCACCGATAACGTTTTGGCTTTGGAGAAAAGTTAACACGTTACAGGATCATTTCTGGTTCATTTAAAGTGTCCGATACAGGGAAAAGAAGCCAGAATGTTTGATGCAGTAACCGAAGTAATGGATCAAAGAGGTCAGTGAAACGCACGGCGTTAAATACTTCCGTGTTTTTAAATCAGCCAAACAAAGTAATGATAGTGGGAGTGAATTTAGCTTCATCAGTATTACTTACAGCTGAGAAAAGGTGCATATTTGAAATAGGAAGAAATGCAACAGAAAAATGATTTTGGACTCAAAACGCCAGCTGTGAAATGCCTTCCTGTTCGCATTGACACTGTCCACAAAGCGGCAGTGACAGCGCATTTTCACTGACGCGCAAAAGCATCAGAAGTCGCCTCTCAGTGGGGGAAACACATGGGACGTGGATCCTCTCCTTCTCGGGCTCTGGTCATCAGGGACGGCGCCATGCATCCATCACTGCTTGAGAAATGAAACAACGGCTGTTAAAGCCTGAAATACAGAAGTGATTTTATGATTGTTCTGATTGTTAACAGATTAAACATTTTCCTTAAATGTTCTTTTGTCAAGGTCTCCACTTTCAGGTTGGTTTAACTCACCTCTGCAATAATCCTGGAAAACCATAGCAGTTTTTTAGCTGAAAATATGGCAGTTATTTAACTCAAAACTAATCTCCCATGTTCTATCTGCTAAACATTTATCTTCACTTTCCGCAGGCACAGGGGCTCCACACACATAGACACATAGACATATACTGTTACATGGGCCAAGAGAAAGACTACGGGTTCATAAGAATTGTCCCCGCAGTTTATATTCAGCGAGGCCAATATAACAGGTCACAGTGCTGAACATGAATATGAGAGGAGTGAAAGTCACAATGGTGTAACTCTACTGTCAGATCCTTTACCGGTCTGTCAGGCAGCACAGCAGAGGACGATGGAGCCGACCCGGCTCGTGAGGTCCGGAGTGCGCGTCAGTGCCGCTGGAGAGGATTACACAACACAAAGCAGCAGAAATGTGGGACACAACCCAACTGTCCTCCCGAGATGCCCCAGAGATCACTTACTGATTTCTATACGGTCAAATGAGTACACCAACTGCCAACGAATATAAGTTACAGTATCAGCCATCTGATTCACCGACTAATACTAAAATGTGCCATTTTGTGCTATTCAAAAAACAACAAACAACAACTCCCTTGTGTTTTTTTAATACACATAATCAAGCCTGTACACATGACCTGTCCTGCTGCTGGTTCCCATTCTGAAGTGTGATGACCAGGGACATGTCGGCACCACTGTAGAGGAGTCCAGCAACACCGGCCACAGGTTACCTAAAATATAAAGGCACGCTGAATAAGTACAGTGGATCTCTAGATGATCCACTATGTATTTGCATTCATTTCGGGCCGATATAATGGCCCAATTTGTCATGTACATATTTGATGACCAAAGACAGCAAACGATGATAGTTCAGTTCCTGCAGATACTGCTATTTAGGGATGAAAGACCACACAGGCTATAGATAATTTTGTTAAATAATGAAATAGACCTTGAATCTAATCTGGCATGTGTCCACCACAAATAGCCTTGCTAGAAATATGCATATTTGAAGAGTAAGGGTGTGGGCTGAGGGAAGATAGATCAGGCCCTCCACTGCAGGGAATGAAACGACTTCATGTTTGTCTACACATTCATCCAACCGAACGAGGAGGATTCCTATAGAACAATAAAACCAGGTGAAATCACAACAGAATAAAATGAGCTGTGGTGTGTTTTTCCTACCAGTGATCTCCGCGTTCCACCGCGTAGGTGACCCGCAGCATCAGGCGACGCAACAACAACAAAAAATCTTCTTTCTTTCTTCTTTTTCTTCCACGATAAGAGGCGCCGACAAACGTGCAGATTCATGGCGCATATGTGTGCAGCGATTAGCCCGCAGCGGACCGGACACGCTACGCGCAACTTACACGAGCCGCGGCCGAGCGTCGTCTGCATGGCTGCCGAGCCGAGACAGGCAGATGTGGGAGCGCCCGCAGCAGCTGCGCACTGACGGGGGGGGGAGCAGTCCGAGGGAGAACGGGACAAAGTGGAGACGGGAGCCCCGGGGACAAAGAAGAGGAAAAATGGACGGGAGGTATTACGAGAGAACAGAGACGTCTTTGAATAAGAGGGACTGCGCGGCCCTGATTTAATCAGCGGGCTCGCTCTCCAGCTGCTGCCACAGGTTTATGCTCTTTTGTATGCGCGCCCTTCATCCACCATCTGCGTTTCCCGGGCAACCGAGGGCTGCCTGCAGGCGCCAGCAGCTCGTGCACAGCAACCACCTCCATCGGGTCTAATGCACCTTAAAGAGACGCTCTGTAACATAAAGACATGCACATGGAATCTTCTCCTGCTCTTATTTATGTGTCATGATGCATTTAGCAGAGAAATACTGTCCACGTTCATCGGTGCTGTGGTGATTCATTTCATATGACATTAATGGCAACAGCTGATCTTATCTAATTGAACTAATTCATTTTGAAAGTTTCATGCCTGCTTGATTTATGTAATTATAACTTCATTGTCTGATAATGGTTTTATGGTGGTTTTGAAAACGTTTTTAACAGAAATAGGAGGAACTATTGACAACAATACATGGTATTGTACACTGGTTAAAGAAAAATATATATTCAGAGATCTCTATGGTGCATTTTGGGGCCTGGGGGGATAGAGGAAGGACCCTCGCAGTGAGCTTTTGGTACATCTTGTGTGTGATCCAACGAATAAATCCTATTAAATTACATCATCATGAATTGGAACTAAAAATAAAAAAGATCAAACCCTGATCATTGAACAATATCCGACTAAACAATGAGATTCCTGATTGAGTGACGCGTCAAACTAGCCTGTGATACACAACACATACAGAACCATGTAGGCTGCATGCCATCCAGATGTAAAAGCAACAAATAAACTGTCCCAAACTACTGAAATCCCTTCTCCAACCTGACCCTGAGCAGAGGATCACTCCCAAGAACCCTCTCCAGCACCTTTCATCAAAATGGCCCATCTGGTGGGCGAGATGGAGACCAGCTTGAAGTTAGTTACTGTGCCCGGTATGGCTGAATGGATGGATGATTGGACCTCTGATTTACTGATTCATTGATTGATTGTCATGTTTCATCCACTGGGGACAAGTCCCTTGACAAAACGCTGGTATGCCGAATGGAAAGCTTAGAAGAGGAGCTTCCCTCTGACAATGGGGCTGATGAAGGTAAATGGATTTCGGCCACACATCGTGAATTTGGCACAGGCTCAGCCGCTCTTTGCTTCCGTGATGGCATCGCAGATATGCCTCTCTCAAAGGATGGAGCGGCAGATGCTTGAGTTATATGCTTCTGGCTCAGCTGAAGACAAAGCAGCTGTCCGCTGCAGCCAGTCCACCTGAGGAAACGCCTCAAGAGCAAGCTGAAGGTCAAAATCAAATTATATTATACTATTTGGAAAGGAACACGTGGATATCTTTTGTTTGAATATAATTAAAATACAACTACATTTCACAACATTGTTTCAATTATAGAAATGGTGTAAAACTAATCGAGAGATGGATCACTTGTACTGATTCAGTAGTATGACTAATCAATAATCCCAAACCCAAACATATAGTCCTACATTTTTTATTTAACAAAATAGCAACATTTAAGAATATGATAGAACATTTGACTTGAAAAATGACAAATGATAAAGGGGTTGTTGTCTATTCATTTAATGTCAGTCTATTAGTTTAATCCAGTCATCTCCCCAATTTATTTGTCTACAATACTTCCTTTGTTATCACACAACAAATAATTTGATGTCCTGAAAATTCTATAATATATTTTTTTCGCAAGTATACAATTGTAATTTTATTCTGTTCCTTGGACATAAGATCTCCAAATACAAATTTACTTCAGTGCACTAATCCCTATTTTTTGTTTGTCTTATACATTACCTTTTCTTTAACATCAGCATTACATTACAGGTCATTTAGCTGACGCTTTTATCCAAAGCGACTTACATTACATTACCCATGGCTTTTTTACATTTTGCCCGGGGAGCAATTAAGGGTTAGGTGTGTTGCTCAGGGACACTTCGACATGGGGCAGCCAGGACTCGAACCTCCAACCTTGTGGTTCCCAGCGCACCCTCTCTACCCCTCCACCACGACAAGCCAGCAAGTCAAATGTTCTTATTCAACTCATTTTAAAATGTAATTAGTTAATAGTAGCACCTAAAATGTGAAAGACAATCCAAATTACAGATGTTGTTACCTATTTCATGATTTGAATACAAACATAACCAAAGTTTAATTACAAACTTTTAAAAATGCTATTAGCAAAAGTTCTTCACAAACAGAGCTTAGACCAACAAACACACACAGGACTGAGTTTAGGAATATCAGGGACACAAGTCAAACCAAATTTTTTACGTTTTGGGCCCGTATATATATATATATATATATATAATAGAAAAAGTCGTTCATAAATATAACTCAAATATATTTTGTCCAAAGTGGCTCCTCAGTGAAAGAACCACTCTGTGTCGTCTACCCTCCTCCCGGCCAGCAGGGGGCGACAGCGTGCGCGCGCACAGCCTTGTCCTTCCGGGGTTTACCTCTGGATGGACGAGTTGCCACAGACCGGGCAGGGCATCCTAAAGGCAGCCCGGGAGATCCACGCCGCCGATGCATCAGTCGGGTCTCGCGGGCCTGTCGGGCCTGTGCCGAGTCACCGACCACCTCTACCTCAGTAACGTGCGCGCGGCCTCAGACTCCGCCCAGCTGACCCGCTGCGAGATAAGCTGCATCGTGAACGCCACCGAGACCGAGAGCCGGCGGCCCCTTCACCCCGGCGTGGAGTACGTCCACGTCCCGGTCTCCGACTCCCCGGCCTCTCCCCTCGGCTCGCACTTCGACGAGGTGGCGGACAAGATCCAGCGGACCGCGGAGCGCGGCGGCCGCACGCTGGTGCACTGTAACGCGGGGGTGAGCCGCTCCGCCTCCCTGTGCATGGCCTACCTGATGAAGCACCGCGGGGTTCCCCTCCTGGAGGCGCACGGGTGGGTGAGGAGCTGCCGGCCCGTCGTGAGGCCGAATAACGGCTTCTGGAGACAGCTCATCCGCTACGAGGTGGAGCTTCGCGGCCGCGCTTCTGTCCGAATGGTGTCCTCCTCCATGGGAGAGCTGCCGGACGTTTATGAGCAGGAGGCCAGAAACATGGTGCCATTGTGAAGTGTGGGGGGGGGGGGGGTTATTCCCACAAATCACACGGGGTGTTGGGGGTAAATGTGTATTTTATGTATGTAGAGATGAACTGCTGCACTGTCATCTGAAACTAACGCAAAGCCTCAATGTTCGTCCTGCTTTGTACATTTCAAAAGGAAAAGTTCTGTACTCCAGACTCTGCTAGTTGCCCGTGTTTAGGTTTAAACTACATTAAATACAAAACATGCGGCCCAAAGAAATCTATCTTAAGACTTTTTTAAGTGCCCCTTTGGTCGCAAAACAGGTACACTAGCTCCACCTTAACCATCTACAACTTTTAAATACCCCCACCCTCCTATTATTTTAATAGTCTGTTTAAGTGGGCACTATCTGGCCCCAAATCCTTTTATTTTAGAATCAATACGCGCCTCCATCGATTCATCAGACAAGTGTAAATGTTGAAGGGCTGCCAGACCGTATTAAGAGTTGGTGACTCCAGATACTTTCTAGTAAATTCTGGTGCTTATTTCACTCAAAGTGGAAATTAATCAACAAATGCTGTGTTTTCGTTGCAGAAATCCACAATAAATTTGTGAAACAATATGGGCTTTGATTCTTACAAGAAACAGTTGGGATACATACATTTCTTTTAGCAGAATGGGCTGTTACTGCAACTTGAGGCCAGTACAATTGTTTATTTATAGGAAACAGGCACAATAGTAAATCCCAGTAAAAGTCATAATTTGGCACTGGTCTGTTGACTGTGAAAATTAATACACACAATATTCAATCTATTGCATTAAATCAGTCATTTCCTCCATGCATTGTGAAGCAGTGCAGCTACCTCTTACAGAAGCAATTTTAGGTCAACATGTCCGACTGAGTTTAAATGCAAAGTAACAAGTGGACAGAATAGGATGTGTTCATCCAAAAGAAGCAGCCATACAGAAACCAGACCAGCAGTTTAGATAAACAACATTTTAATGCCACAGCTCAAAGAACATTTAAACTGGATAAATTAGGAGGCCTTTGCACATGAAACCAACGCCTTGACAGCAGATATACTTATATTCATTCTTCCAAAGAGTTAGATGGGGAGAGAGAGTGTGATCTTTAAAAAAAAGGTGCCGTTTGGAGGCATCTGTAGCATTTGGACTGAGTCACTCTAGCCGTTTGCTCACTTTGAGTACTTTTTGTAGGCAGCTCGCTGTAGCCTTAAGGTTCTAAACAGGAGATTGGGAGCATTTCTATTGTCGACGATGAAAAAGAGGGGGGGGGGGGGGGGGGGTCCTATGCTTCAGCAACAAAGACACCAAACTTAACGGCGTAATGAGCAGCCTCTGCCTTAAGGGGGCAGTGCTGAGCAGCGGTGCTGAGGGTAAAAAGGTCGGTGCACCGACACGCACAAATGGTCCCTTACGTTGACCTTTTATGGTAATTTTCAGCAGAATTATTAGTGGTATTGATCTGATCTAATTTTCTGAAAGAAAGCCGATCAGCGCATTTCATAAAACTTTACACACATTTATATGTTTAAGTGGCTTTTCTAGCATCTCATTTGGAAAACGAAGGTCACTACATTCACATAGTTGTGATTATGAGCAGAGATCCCATTGTAGTACACTAGCACATCCAAATCTTTGATACGGGTTCTATAAAAAGACATTTTAAACAAACTTAAAGAAATTGTACACAATATTTTACAAAAAAACAGATGGCTTATATTAGTGCAGTGCAATCAATGGTGTTCTGGAATCATTCATCATCTGCTACTGAAACATCCTGAGTCAGGACCTTAGTCAGGTCAAATTACAAGATTACCTTACAAGTGGAAAAACGACACAAAGTGCAAAAATTGCATGCTTATTTTACCTTGAATGCATTTCAATATTTTCCTCTGTAAAGGCATCTCTGTCGGCTGCATAGTCCTACGATAAGCATCTAAAAAAAAGGTATGAAATAGAAGAATGTCCAATCAACGAAAGGTGAAATCAATGCAGAGTAGATCAGGAAGATACCCGACGACAGTGTCCATTTACTCTTTTCCCCACAACAACCCGGTGTATTCAGAAGCTTGATTCATTCAGCTTCAAGAGGACGATATCAGATTACATCTGAAAGAGAAAGAGATATTTCAAAATGCAAAGTTACTGTATTATGCTTTCAAAAGAGTTAGAGGGTTGTATTTCTTTACATGAACGACTTACATGCTGTTCCAGCTTCTGATATTCTGCGGATTTGGGGCGCCGTGCGGATCTGGATTTCTTTCCTTCCAAAAAGAAGGCAATTATCTGGGAAAGAGAGAAAAGGGATATTGGTATTATTAAGTTTATATGAGAGACCACTGCATGACACCTGATCTATAAAATAAATATGTAATTTAACCAGACACATTGAAGTGGATTAATCTCTCGCAGTAACAAAATAAACCTGAACTTTCCCAAAACGTCAAAGTATTCCTTTAGGTTTGTTCCTCGCAGTTGTAATGTGCTTTTTTGGGCCTAATGTGTCTGCAACTCAGAAGCTTACAAACCATGCTAAATAATACAATTCAGCGTATTACATATTCCTTCACCACTGATACAATCCAAATGTTTTAACAGCAAATATTTACAATTATTCCATTTGATTTGAATTCAGAACAGTTCTAACTCGGCAAGTACTTTGCTTAAAAAAATTATTTCATTCATCATTTGCCAAAAAGAATTCACACACACACAAATGGTTGAAACGCAGATATATTTGAAACAGAAATCGGGGCCAGTTTCCAGTGGAAACACGTGACGAATGGAGTAGAAAGGTGCAGAGTCGTTTACCTTGCGCTTGTTGTGGTAGGCGATGTAAAGCACTGCTACCAGCACAGCCGACGACACCAGGTAGGCAAAGAAATGACTGCTTTCTTCCTCGTCATTTATACCAGCGTCATTCAGTTTAACAGTGCCGCTTTGTTTTTTGTCGTTCTCTACGTCTGTTTTTTTATTCTCTGATTGAGTTGTTCCCTTGGTGATGTCCTCTGGATCGTCCTCTGGATCGTCCTCTGGATCGTCCTCTGGATCGTCCTCTGGATCGTCCTCTGGATCGTCCTTCTTGGTGGCCTTTGCCACCACTTGGTCCTTGCCTTTGGTTCCAGACTCTGCAGGTGTTGTTACATTTTTGTTTTTGTTTACATTTGCCGCCTCATGTGCTGGTGTAGTTAGCTTGAGCTTTTTCTCTTCCGGTTTGTTTGTTTTGATCTGACTTGATTCTGTGGTATTTGACATTACTGAAGACTTCCCCAGAGTTTCATCCGCCTTTACATTCTCTGCTGTTTGGTTTTTAGCATCTGTAATAAATGCTGCTGACTGATTGGCATTAATAACAAACTGCGTTGTCGGATTTTTTCCAGTTGTGTCACCATCAGACTTAGATGGCAGTGCTGTAAGGAAATAGAAAGTAAGATTTAGAACACGAGGTAAATGGATGGTTATTTCCTAATCTTACAACCCAGTCAAACTAGAAGTTGCTCTACCGCTACTGCCAGTTGGTAACAATAACAGAACAATTAGACACAATGCCATGAACTGCAACATGTTTTAATTGGTGACCCAGAAACGCCTCAATTACATTTCTCTTCTTTGTTTCTACTGCGAATCTGTCTGCATTGACCTTTCTATTCCATTCTTCCATTTCCATTCCTTAATTTTCCTTATTTGAATTGTCTGCTTTCTTTTTCTTGTGAAGTCTTAAATCTGGTTCACTGATAAAGTCATAAATATCATATCAAGGCCAGATTAACTACCAGGACATGAAGGAAAAGGCCCAAAGGCTTCTGCGTGTCACTTGGCCTTGCTAATTCAATATTTGCACACTGGTTAGTGGGAGGAGGAGAGCAGCTGCATTACAGCTCATGTAGAGACCACATTGTACCGGCAGACACACACACACACACACACACACACACACATATTGAGATAAGACGTTTACCAAAAAGAAGGCAGAAGTAGGCCTGTGTTTTATGTGACGTGATATATGCTATTGTATATATAGCTCCGTCATATCAATGGTTCCTCTTAATGTAGAAGTAAACACAGCGTATTAACGCGTTGTTTTCAAAGCAGTGATATGTAATGTCACATGTGTATTTCATTCATTGAACTAAGGTTATGAATGTTAAACACGCCGATGCGTTTTTAAGTAAAATAAAAAACAAGTTAAAGATAGTGACAGTGACGCGTCTTAACACTGTGATGCAGCGAGCACTAGCTAGCTGAATTGGCTCATTTTAATGGCGATTAACCAACTGACATTTCGCTCATCGGTCTCACGATCACATGGCGAAACCAAACTCCACTCACCTCCACACAGAAATATGGCGAGCGCCACGAAAGCCGTCTTCATCGTGTCTGCGCTGAAACACTGAAACACAAAAGCCGAATCGATTTAATCTTCTTTGGGCCAACGACACAATCCTTTCAGACGGATCTACGGTGACAGGTTGGAGGTTTTGCATCAAATCCGGTTGTGCTTCCGTGTGCGAACCGAAGATGCTCTTCTTCTGCTGCTCCAAAGAGATGAAAACGCGCTCTTCGGCGCCGCCCGCAGGTTGAGTGCTGTCACTACAGGGCCCCATGTCAACAGGAGGGCGTCGCGTGAATGAGGAACAAATCTTTTTATTTCCCCATTTTATTCCGATAAGTTAAACTTATTCCCGCTCCAACACGCAGCGGGCTATCAGCGGTTCTTTTCTTTTGTATGCATTCATTCAGGCGTTGGTTTCATCACACCTTTCTTTGGGATGCTTCACGGAGACAGACAGGAAAAGCAGGTAAATCTACTGATGAGTAGACATGAGCTGAGCATGCTTACAGGGTTTGTTGGTGAAATAGATTGGGCACAGGGGCGTAGCCAGGACATTATTTCTGGGGGGGGGCGAATATGTGAATATGGGGCTTGTAGCATACGTGACAAATGATTTGTCACGTATGCTTGATAAAAACAATACTGATGCATTTATTTCAGCTTTATACCGTTTCTGTTCAGGATTCAGCATTTATGCTTTTATGCAACGAAATGTCGTTGTATAACAACAATGACAATAAAAACCTATTATCTTAACTAATTTTAAATGTATTTTGTATGTATTATTATTATGTATGAATTTACATAACTTACAATTTAATGAGGTGAATTACTTTAAAAAATGCAGGTAACATTTTCAAATGTCAATTAGATCCCAAACATAAGTTCAAATTCAGTTATTTGGCAGAATAGCTCCCGCATTATGATCTGGAATTTACCAGGTGTCCCAAGATGAACTGAAATCTGAAACCCCGGATACAGCAGTCTGGCAACAATACACAACCTGGCCAGATTCCCTGAATCAAACCACCAAATGAGAAACACAAACCATAGCAACACTTATTTTGTGTTGAAGTTATGATAAATGTCACTGGATTACACTTACAGATAGAGTTTTTATGCAGTCGCTCGTTGAAGTGCTTTGATCATAAAATGTCATTGCACCGCTCTTTCTTACCTGCAGATATCTCTGTCGATACATTTCTCAGAGTAAAACCATACATGTTGGATCTGGTTTAAGCCAGCTGACTCAAACTATTTGTGTCTTAATCTTGGCATTGAGTCAAAGGATAAGACGTGACTTTCAGAGCGGTGTTATTTAGTTTTATTTGTCCGGCAGGCCAACATGTGGAAACAAAGGGAGACTAAATATTTAGACCAGATTCAGATACAGATTCTTCTGTATGTATAGCTGACATCCTCCAATTGTACTTAAACCCCATTGTGAGTGACCTGAACTTGTAAAGGTAAAGAGAGCACTAAGTAGACATTATACGTTATAAATATCTATATATACACACACTGTTATTGCAAAAACAATAATAATGTTTTGGATTTCATTTTATGTTATTTGAACTTTTTTTTTCTCCTAATGATCCACCACTGGAGGTGATCTATTTCTTTTATTACTGCCACCCACAGGTTAGGTGCAGACGTCATGTGGATGTGCTCCACATGAGGCGATTGTGTCTCAAAGTATTTGACCTCATCAGCAGATGGCAGTGTTGATATACGCTGCAACTGGAATAGAAATCCCTGAAACTGTGACAAAAACACATAATGTCACCAGATTACTTGGTGTTCATGTGTTGAGGGTTTAATCATATGATGACTTTTAATGATTTACAAATATATTTATTCAAGACGGTAGAATACCGTTGAGGGGAAATAATTGACAAAATCACTGAACTTTCCGGCTGAGTGCCACAATGAATGTGTTGCGATGTTATACGGATTAGATTGTAAGGGTTGCAGTAGTGCAAGAGATGAGATAATCATCAAAATGTTAATCGGAGGTGTTTTACATCTCAGTTGGGTGTCGGGGACCTCTGGGTTCTTGTAATGAATATGTCTTAATTGTGGCAGGCTATTTGACATTTGAAAAGTCCGATGATCCCTCTCTTTCTTGACACCCATTTGCATTTCCATCTTTAAGGTCAAATGGGTATGAATAAAACATTAAGGAGGTTCTTAAGCTCACAGCCAGATGTACCTATCTTCACAAAGGCACCAGCTGAGTGTTGCTAGGCTCAGTGAATGTTACCGAAATAATCAATTAATTTCACTTTGGGAAACCACATGTGAAGCAAACACACCATCCTGTTATTAATGGGAATATAAGGTCATGATTCAATGGAAGATATGCGCTCAGCCTCTCGTGATCAGTGTTATCTACTTGTAAGAACACACTGATATGAAGACATCAGGGTCGGCCTATTCTCCTCGTACACACGAAGACCAAAGGGATCGTTCTGTGCGTGCCTGTTGTTTTGTTCAAAGTGTTGCCATTTTGCTTCTTTTTTTAAACAATTTTAGTGCCTTATCAAGAAACGGTACCCAGTGCGATATTACCCCACGTGTGAAGTCTCAAAGGGTTAACCTGGAATACATTCAGGATCAAAGGAAGGCCCAGAAAAGAACCTTGGCAAGAGATTGGAAGAATTTAATGAGCAAAAATTAACATGTATTAAATCTGACCTCGTGCTTACATGGCAGATGTTGAGTGGAGCAGCAACCAGATACGTTATTATAGGTAAACAGTACCATGCACGGGAACTTTAAGCTGGCATACCTGTTATTCCATTTCAAATAGATATTGTGTTTAAAACTGAGCAAAATGATTTAAAATCCCACCAGTTTACGTTTTGTCAAATTGCATCATAATAATAATAGTCTGTGGGAAAAGAAAAATAAGCAAGCACATGTAGCGGAATGTATTTAACAACAGAACAAACTTGAAAAACCAGCCCCTCCTGAAGCCATTCACTCGGGGAGTTTCATAATCGGGGTACTGTCTTAGGAGAATTGAACATTGCACTGGATGAACAGCCTTGCCGGCTGTTTTGACAACTCATTCCCTGTAATTTCACTGACAGTTTGGTGAAGTGACTCGGAGCGCGCAGCCGTGGCACCAGAGACTGTGGTTTGTGCCTGGAATGATGGGAGATAGGACGGCAAATAAGCGAGGATTTGTTATGGCTAATTATGGCTTAAGACAGCGTGGGGGAGACGTGGGAGCTCGCTGCCTAAACGGGGCTGAACTCAAACACATCCTCAGTCCACCTGTCGGCAGTTTTAGATGCCTGTTTGAAATATAGGTAATGAATAAATAAGATTCACACTAAATGTCAGTTAAATTCACAGACATTTATGACAATGTTAAAATCGTTTTTTGTGGGACTTGTTGGTCTGATGTGTGTGTGAAGGTGTGCTCTCAGGATGTGTATCTTTACTGGTGATATAAACATACTGAATATAAACTCCCCACCTACTGGCAGTAAGTAGGTGGGGAGTTTATATCCGGTGTGTTTATGTACGGGGGAGGGGGGCTCATCCAAGCCAGCCCCCCCCCTTCACCCTCCCCCATCATAATTGGTCCATCCCTGGCACTACTCCTCATCTCCAAAGCCACCAAAAACTGTAACCTACCTTGTGTATTTTTCCCTAATTGAAATGCCTAATGAGGTCCCCAGGGCTCCATCGCATTACCTCTGAGTTAATTAAATCCTGAGCAGTGTGCCAAACGATGAGTAAAGATGCTGTAAAAGTGCAAGAGGAGCACGGACCCCAAGCAAGGTTTGGAGCTGGATTGGGGCTGACCTGGTTTTTTGTTGTTGTTGCTGTGGGACGCTGTATTCCAAGAATGAGCAGGCGTCCATTATTTTTTTATTCAAATTTATTTTGGGCTTCAAATTTTGTTTCCCTTGTTCAGGCGCTCATTTTCCAGTGTGGTTAGCCTAATTCTGCTTTATTAATCATTTAACTCCCTGCCACCATCAGCAGGAACCATTTATGAAGATGTTCTTTGTAGAAATAAAAGAGAACACAAGACTAAACACCTACAAGAGGCAGTTATTGACTTGTTAGGCATTGTGGTCACAAGGATTAGAATATTCATCTAAACCACATTAACTTAAACAAACCTTTCTTTATTAGATGACAAAATCATGATGAAACGCAAAAACACAAAAAGAGACATTCATCTTAAGAAACAATTTCAAATGTTTATTTAACATGTCAAAGAAAGGGGCACACACTCGTGAATTGAAAAGGGAGCTGCAATTATTGGCCGGTACTATGACTTAAACTTAATACTAACATTAATCAGGTTTTGGCTAAAAAGATAACATGTTTTTGTTCCTTTTTTTTTTATAAAGAAACTTTATGTACATTGGTTCTTTTATACAAGAGGTTCATTGGATAAATGCATCAAAAAGAAACCAGTTCTGCAGTAAACTTTACAAAAAATACATTTAGTTTTCATTCAGAGTTGTAGAAAAGGAGTAAGTCAAATATTGACCAATAATATTTTGTCCTTTTCATTATTTAGAAAAAAGCTGATCTAATATCTATTTGAAAGAAAAGCAATATACAGCACAATAAAATGGGAGCAAGTTTCCTTTGTGAATTCATTCGGTTGGTTTGGTAACCAGGGAGAGGGGCTGCGACTGGAACAGCGCATGATGGGAGTGAAGGGCTGCCTGATGAAAGGGGGATGGGGGGGAGAGCATGGAGGGGTGCAGGGATGTGAACGGGATTGGCCGGGTAAGGATGGGCGTGGTCGGGTGGCTACCTGAAGTACCAATTGGGATTGAGAGGTGGGTATGGGAGGCGGAGGAGGAGGAGGAGGAGGAGGAAGATGAGGAGGAGGAGGAGGAGGAGGATGTGGATCCAGATGCCTTCCCAGGTAGGGAGAAGTGGTGGTGCATGCGTCCCTCCGGTTTGGTGGTGAGCGATAGCGGCTGGGCCTGCTCGGAGTGAGTGGCGGCAGGAGCGGCCGGGGAGGCCAAGGCCGCGGAGGGAGTGGCCGGCGAGTCCAGCATGCTGCCGTGGGACGACGCCGGGCTGTCGCACATCTTATCCGAGGGAAGGTACTGCACGCACTGCTTCTTGCTTCTGATGGAGAAGTCTGGCGAAGACAAAAGGAGAAGTGAGGAAGCTGAATTATGGATCTGCTTCTGGCTTCAAATGTGGTTCATGGCGCCTCAGTGTTGCCTGCCGACAGAAGTGAACAAGTGATTACGTGACACCTTCAAAACCAACTGGAAAACACGTTGGAACACAGTGAGTGAAACGTGATGTTGAACGTATCCAGATGGTATGCGCTCACGATGCAAAAGGAGAACAGCAAACACAACACCAAAATGAGCTCTCTAAATTTGTGCAAGTGGTCATTTGGTTGCACAACAACAGACATACCTGCCACTATTAGCACTGAACCTCATAAGCTGCTTGTCAAAGCACAGAAGCAGGGAGAACGTTAGTAAGTGTTAGGGGTGTAAAAAAAACAAACTGTCCAGAAAAGGTGGATACAAATAAAAGAATAGCGGTTCAAAGAAGCAGGTTGCACTTCTTCACAGTTTGTGAAGAAAGAAATCTATATAAGAGGTGCTCGGTCAGAAAAGGCCCCTTACCTTCGGGTTTTGAGTCGGGTTTATTGTCCCTCTTCCTCTTTTTCCTCTTTCCCTACACAAAAAAACATGGTATTAAAAAACGTTTTTATAGGCATCTATATCCGCATCAATAAAATTGATTTATAATAACAAAAGTGTGATTCCTGTAATTAACCGGGAATTAATTTCCTCTACTAATTAATTTAAGAGCTGATCATGGAAATGCGCCACTCACGTAGTTATCCCTTGCTGACCACCCCGGATACAGCTGAGAGTGGAGTTGCCTCTCTTTTCTGGCCAGCTCGTAGTATTTGGCTTGCTCCTCTCTTGACAGGGAATGCCACTGTGGACAAAGATAGAAAACAACAGGAGATATCAAAGGATTGCCAAAACACACACAGAGTTGTGAACTCACGTGCTCATCACTGCTACTCACCCGTCTCCCAAGGATCTGGTTGATGGCAGCGCTCTCTTTCAGAGTGCACTCTGCCACTACTTTGGCTCTCATCTCCTTCATGTACAGCATGAAAGCGTTCAGCGGTTTCTTAATATGAGGCCTCTTGTCTTCTTCTTTCTTGGGAGGAACTGGGGATTTCCTGCTAATCGCAAAAAGGAAAGACAGGCTGTTAAAAATAGAGGTCCTGGTGACCTTCGGCCGACACGGGGGAAAAGTCGTGAGGTGACGTAAGCGGGTTCCGAAACAATTAATAACTTAAAAAGAACAAAAAACCAAATGTTCTTACGCATGCATGGAGGGGCTCATGTCGCTGGGCTCCTGTTTGATGGCCGGGGAGACGATGGCCGGGTGGGGAATGCCGGTCTGGTGGAGGCCGTGAGGTGAAGGAGACACCATGTGAGGGGAGAAACGGCTGGACACCAAGCTGTGAAGGAAACACAATTGCACATTTTCTGGTTTAACAGGAAACCTCCGTTAGCGGGAAAGGTTCGGCTAACTTGGCACCTAAGCGGAGCTCGCTCTGCCTACTGCTTCCGTCCGGACCAAAATCACACACGCACACGGGGAGTTACATGCTTGCTTTTTTTTGTTGTAATAAGAGGCTTTTTCAAAAGCCCCCTTTATTCAGCAATGGCGCGGAGAAAAGCGGTGTGTTGTAACCATGGTAACAGCATGGCCGTGACACCTGAAACCACTTTTCCTGACACCAGAAAGCTGTTCCAGAGAGCATTCTGACAGCCGTCCACGCAGAACACCTTTACAGTGTCTGTCTTTAAATTCCAATTGTTAATACAATGGAGCATTGTACTGAACAAGGGGGGGACTAAGCTACGTATCCCTCTGTCACACACTCGCGTTCACGCTAGATTGGAAATTCCTCTATTCAAACATGTCACAGGCTGAGAGACAGAGAACAATATAGCCTTGTACTCGCAGTGCAGTCATCGGCTGTGCCTTAAGATATACTCAGTGTGGACAAACTCCACTTCATGTATATAGAGGCTTTTATAACTGTTGGGGCAAAAGTAGCATTGGAGTCCAGGTCGAAATATGCTCTCCCAGGAAAATAGTTCAAAGCTGAATCCTCATTCAATATTTACTTTCTGACTGAATATAACATCTGACCTAAAGTAAAGAAGAAAAAAAAAAAAAACGTGTGTAAATTCACCAAGTCTAAAAATATAGGTAATTATAAAAATAAAACCTGATGTGTTTTTTTTAGATCTACAAAAGCCTTAATAATTCATGCTGTCTAAACAAGGAGGTGCCATATCATCCCCTCTGTAATAAACCTATATCAACTACATCTGTAAACATCCCACTTTGTCCCTGAGGGACTCAATGCTTTGCATGCAAAGTGATGGCATGCACTCAAGCTCCACATGTAGAGAATAATCTTCCTATCACATTCATAAAATGCAGTAATAATTTCCTCACTTTTACTGTTACTTGTTTCATGTTTTATTGTAAAATCACCTTTTAAAAGCATCTATAACAAATGCTGAATGAAGTACTGTGGAACGTCTGTGAGCTGTGTTTTGATTGTTGAGTCCGTCTCGGGACGGGACTGCACATCCTATTGATCACGGAGACCCTTCTGAATATTTCATTTCACACAAACACCGGAAGGCTCGCTACAAATCTTTCCAATTTTGAAAGAGGTTCACAAAGTTTAGTCTGATTGGACCAGTAGGTTAGGGTGAGCTTTGATTTGTCGTTATTGATTCTCAGCTCTTTCATCTCTGCGGTGTGTGTGTGTGTGTGTGTGGGGAGCTGCTCAGAGCATTGGCTTGACCACAGAAGTTTAGCCCTGAGAGAGAAGCCAGGAGAAGAGTACGGAATGCCAATAAAGCCCTTCCTCTATTTAAGAAGCTGAACGTGTCAGTGAGACTTAAACCGTAGATCCCTGAGCAGTGCAAACGCCGCTGCAAATGTTTTATTCAAATTGACTTTATTCTTATACTGTAAATTGTTGTATATAGCAATAACGATGTAGACAATCGGAGTTTAAAGGTGAACACCTGCCATTTATTTGACCAGTTGTTTAAGAAGGCTGGCATGGACGGCGAGAGGAATGTGACTGCAGCATTCCCTGGAAGCAGCAGATACTAAGTGTCTCCCTTTGGGAGGGCGGGAGTGTTGCTGAACATGATCCGCTCACCTGGACATGGATGCATTCATTGCTAGCGCCGGATAGGGGTGACGGAATCCCCCCGGAGGGATGGAGTACATGGGCTGGCCCTGCCTGAGGAACGCAGGGAGACGGAATGAGGTGTGAGGTGAATCAAACACAGCTGACAGCCTAACCCACCAGCACTAATCCTGTACTCATAGACCCAAAGCCGCTGCTCGTGGAACAGCGCCGTAGCAATCGATTAGGAGAGCCGTTAGCGCAGGACCCATGAATGTTCACGAATTCCTCCCGGGGAACTCATTTAATATTTTACAGATATGGTGCAACTGCACTTGGACAGCAGAGCACACAAATCGGACATCGCCTAAAATAAACATTTCATCTCGACTCATTTGTTGTGCTTTCGTCAGCTAAACTCACCACCAGCAGATGAGCGCTTTAACTGTAACCGAGAAAAAGACACATCTGGCCGAGTGGACGGCTGAGAATAAAAGTGACTCACTGTTGCATGAACCAGCCCAGAGGGTGTGCGATGGAACCGACGGCCCCAGGAGACAGCGGGTAGTACGGAGAGAGCTCCGACGGGTGAGGGGTCCGAGGAATACCTGCAGGCGCCACAGACATACGACAAACGCTTGTAAAACGCAGTGTGCACCTACTACATAGAAGTATTTAAAGCAGTAGTTTACACCCCTGAAAATAATTATACTTTTGATACTCTTATCTTCCGTTTTACTAATATGGAAGCCGTTTTCAAGGTGAAAAAAGACAAAATGTCTAAAGAAACTTTCCAAACTTAAATCTGTTTGTCCACCCAAATGTCCATGTTATTAGAGTGCCTTCGTTAGGGCCCATTGCGCACTGCCAACCTCCTGGTTACGGTAAGTATTTCAATACTTCCTCTCAACTGCGAAAAGTGGTCAACTTTTTATACCCAATTTTTACAGCACACTGACAGATTTTATGTGGAATATCGCTTTAATATCCAGTGTACAGTGAATCGAACCAATGTCCATTCATTAGAAATTACCTGTCTTTGGGTCGAGGATCTCGGGGGAGAGGTGTGATGGCGGCGTGCCGGGGGAGAAGTGTTCATTGCTGTAGGTGATGAGCGGTGTCAGCGGGTGGACGTGGTGGGCATGCTGCACCACCGGGACTTTATTGGACTGTGGATGACACAAAAAAAGGAAAAATTAAAGAGAAAAACAGACAGAAATTATGAGCTGGTGGTACAATTGAGAAAAAGGCTCCGACACAGAACATTTAAAAGAAGTCAATGTGATCCTGAAAGCGTGTGCCGCACGTTATTTCTGTCGCCCATTGTTCAGAGGAAATGCATGCAGTAAATAGGCCATCATGTGTGAATGCCCTCTGCGGTAAACATTACATCGGTCCGTGCGTGTGACCGGCCCTGTGATGCAATCTGGACCGGCACCAAGGAACACTAAAAAGCCCTGCCGACACATGCCAAGACCATTATGGCCATTTAGCTGAGGAGAGAACTGTTTGTTCAGTCCAACCAGAAAAAACAACGGTGCCACCGGTCCAAGAGTCACGCCAGTGAGCCGCAAACAAACACAATCGGGCTACGGTGAAGTGAATGCCCATAAAGAAGTGCAGACATCATCTCCCCCTCCGTCTCACAGCAGTCACTTAATGGGGAGACGCAGACGCCCATGGGTGGACCACACTTTACACTGCAGATGACCCTGATGTGAGGAAAACACCGAAGGCTCTGTACAACATGAGATAAGTGGCGGAGAACAGATGGGCGGAACCTCCGTTACCGGGCGGCGTGGATCCTGCAGCCATTGTAACAACTCTTCGCGAAGCCACGGGCGGCTGCGACTGGGATAACCAAGACAATAATAATAACCAGCGTCTCTACTTTCATTAGGGCAGCGCTCAGCCGCGCAGTCATTTCCCCTGGCTGGCAGGCTGAATAGAGCACTTGTTGGCTCAACTTGTCACATGGGAGGGTCAAGGGGTGGAGGGAGGTGGGGGGAGAAAGGAGTCTTGTTCCTCCAGGCTAACCTTTCTTCAATATCCCTCCCCACCCCCGTCCCCACCTCTCGTCTCTCTCCAACGTGGTCTGCTGGGGAACAAGGTTTGCATTGAGACTTCTGTACACTCTTTTGCTTCACGCTGCTAAGAATTGTTCCAAATCGTTTCCCCCCTTGTTTTTTTTTCTTTTTAAAAGGAAGGTGGAACCTTTTCCTGCTTTTTAAATCTTTAGCAAATTGGTTCATCCCGTGTCTAAAGCACACTTTGATTCCGTTAACGCCAGTTGGAGGGAGGACACTATTTGCGGTTGTTTGACGTGGCTATTTTAAGATCACTTTGCTCAGGACCCTTTTCTGGCTCCTGCAGAACTTGAGAGCGTACGAGGTCGACGCATATGATGATGCACAGAGAACACAGTTCCACAAAAGGCTTTGATGAAGCTTCGTGGCAGGAACGGTGTTGACCTGCAATGCTGAAATCCCAGGTCCCACATGTCATGTATATTTGAGTTGTGCTTTGTTGTTCTACTTAACGTACAATATGCCTGAATTCTCCATATATTGTGAGGGCTGGTTGAGACCTCTAGACCTGGGTGCCAACACATTTTGGGAAGCACTTCAGTAAGAATTTCAAATGATGCCTATTAATTATTCATATCCTGGAATACACCAATCCTGTGCTCTATACACATATTTCTAAGTTTGAAGGCACTAGTTTTAACTCTGCACTGCCTTTCAGATCAGCAGCCCCACAAAATGTGGAGAGAAATGGAGTCTGCCGATTACACATATGCAAAAGTCTTCTGCACAGCCCCCCCTCCCCGCCAGAGTGTCTCCGTTAGGAATGAAGACGGTTACTTCATCAATTAGATTTAAAATCAAAATCTGCATATGTTTTTAAATGTAAGTCCTCCGCAGCGCTGAGTGTATAACATGTGGATTTGTAAAATAGAAAAACCAAAACTAATGGCTCAATCGTGAATTAAACCAAACATTAACGAATCAATGCCTCCTTTCACTTTATGTGTAGACGTAATAGTCCTGTAGCCCATGAAAGCTCCATACGCCTGGCTTCATGACCCACAAGCAAAGTGTAATAAGGAAACCACAAGGAACGTGAGCCGTGTTTTAAATATAAACAACATCTACGTGATAGGAAGGATAACCTGGAACCAGATGGTATCTCCATCGGCGGACAGAAGACATGCTCTCTACATAGGCATGCTTGTTGTAAACAGGTCTGCAGTGGTGCATTCCTCTCACCGAGCAAGTAAAAACACCCAGAACTGGCCCTGGAGTTGATTGGGCTTAGTAACAGGAAGGTTTAAAGGGGGGGAAAAAAAACAGCAAAAAATTTGCTGAGCCGCTGCAGAGAAAAGATGTCTGTCTCTTAAGAGGGTTTAAAGCTAAAAGGTGGCAGTACCTCGCCTGGCTGTCCAACTTGGAACCGCGCTAAGAAAAGCACAGTCCTTGGTCGGTGTGGATGGAGGGGTGGATTTCATTCAAGCAAACATGTTTTTGGATCCTGCACATCTGAGTTGAATTACTAGGCAAACAGCCGATGGGGAAGAGAGCTTAGAACAAACTGAATAACCCTGCAGCTTTGTGTGTCTTTATGCTCGGCGATTCTGGGTGGGAGGCTCAGAGGCCTTTCAAAACCCCAGGAAAGACAGGGTGAAAAGAATGCCTGGCATGCTGAGAAATCCAAGCCTTGTTTGTCAACGCCAACAGGAAGCGGACGTGCGGGGGGGGACCGACCGTGTCGTATGCCTTTAAAATCAACCACTCCAAACTATGCCATTGACCACGGACAACGAGTACTTCGCGTCCGCCGATGGGCTCTGAACGGTTCAATGGGAGTTATATTCGGGCTTAAGATAATACAGAGCAGAGCGCCGTCATATTACTGGGGTAAAGATATTTGTAAACTGACAGATGAAATTCAGAATGATAAATGCTCCCCTGTTTTAGAGTCTGAATGACTCAAAGTGCTGCTTCCTTTTCTCGTTGGTGAAGAGGGTCTTGTCTCTGCAGGACTGCAGTTCTGAGATCAGTATTCAGTTCAATCCTCCCAAAGCCTTTGATTTCATGATGGATCCCGGTTGTTCGCTGCCTAATGCAAAACGAGGAGAGTCTCCCCGGACTCCCCAGTCAAAGGTCTGCTAGAAGAATATGGGTCGAAAGCAAGTATATGTACCTCTATGGGAAAAGAAATCCGGCAGATTTACAGTTAATATCTTCCCTCAGAGTGCCATAGAGCCCTGGGATTGCAACATGCATCTCTGGAATGCAGCTGTAAACCTCACCACTTCAATTCACTTCAACAATTCGGTGACTTATGACACGCTGACAGGACCGTGTCCCTGGATGCCTTGATTACTCTCGATGGCGCTAATGCAATTTGGAAACAAAGAGCGTGATTCTTGTGCGCTTATCAAGTGAAGATCAACCCACATTTGAGTACTGAGTGCCCGGTGATCTGATAAGTAACTGGGAAACAGACACCCCTGTTAAATTCCACCTCATTACAGAGCAACGGCTCCCTCTAATCCAGAGCAACAGTGCACGTCAGTGTCGTCGGTAATGGCACAGAGAATAGGCATTATGGGCAAATTACTGCGAGAGAGACTGAGCGACCTCAGAGAGGAGTGTGAGAGATGCACACGGGGAGGCACGTGATCCAGACGGCGCCGGCACGCCGTTCTCGCGTCTGCTCTCTGGTCCAGCTCGGCCACTACCGATGGGCGGACATCGTTCCCGATAATGCATCACCTGGCCCTGCAGCCTCTTTGATGTATTATTCATGGTGGGGCCGCCCTCTGGACACTGGGGTCTATGTGGAGGTTTTGGGGTGCTGAACGTATTCCTGTGTGTGTGTATGAAAAGCTCCTCCCACAACACAAGCCCCACCATGACTACCAAAAGCAATACCGACTGAATGCTAAACAAACCTGTCTGTTGAATAATTGAGGAACTCAGGCCAGAGCCGTCTCCGATTAGCATACGGGCCTTATGGACCCGATCTGCACAGTGACAGGATGGTGTTGGATGGTGGACTTTGGTGTCCACTGAGTACTCTTGATCTCCGCTTATCTCCGTCCAAATTGCCAGAAGTAGAGGAGATATCCCATCAGTTTTAGTTTACAAACAAATATAGGATCAAGCTCTCAGAGCTTACGTGGCGAGCTTCAAGCGAAGACTCAGACAGTGGATGATTTATTAATCCGCAAAGAAACCTGACAGATCGGCTACAAAAACCTTTTCAGCTCGCTAACACCATGAATAGTTGACGTGCAATAAAATTATAAAATATACATGTGCCTACAAGCAAATCTTGACAGATATTCCAAATCATGGCAGTTCATCCTAAAAAGCGAAACAACAATGTCAGATTTAACACATGCTTGCAGTGCGACCGCAAGACTACAGGTCTGCTCCAGGAGTCCCTGCTGGTGTCTCCTCTTTGGCTCCTCTTGGCCCCGGGCAGTAATCCCCGGCCCCCCATGTGTGCCCATCCGCTCCCCCTGCTCTCATTAGTGCAGTGTCGGGGCCTGGGGAGCCTGCAGGCCTGGGGAGCCAGCCTGCTGCTTCCCTCCCACTCTTCCACTCTCTCCTCGGCTGGAGTAATGAGCACATAATCAGCCTGGCTCCCCGTCAGCAGCAGCAGCGCACCAGAGGGGCATGTGGGCTGCTGGCCCGGAGTGGGGGGCAAGGCCACAGCGGGGGGTGTTTCTCCCCCTACGCTCCGCGCCGAAGGTACGCCGGGGCCCGGTATCGGTGTTTCCCACCGCTAATCAAATGACCCGCTACTCACAGGTCGCCCTATCAAGCGTGGGGACTTCCTCTTTTAGTCCACATGCTGGAAGGGAATAATACACTTTGTATGAACTTCCCTCACTTCCCTTCCTTTTACACCGCTTTAAAATGAGTGTTTCACAAGTTCTAAGACATTAATGTTACCCCATAGTCTTTTTCAGCCAAATCAAGTGTTTTATTTGTATTCTGCAGCCTTGGACTGTACATATATTAGATATGTGCAATAAATAGTAAAATGATAATAATATCATCGACTGTTATTTAAAACCTAGATAAAAGGAAGCCTTCTCCATGCCGACACCATTATAAGACCTATATAAGCATCTAAAGATGGATAAATAAAAGCATTTAAAATGTATTTAATGCATGAAACAAATGCATAAACGTACATATTTAGCACACAAAGGGGAAGGCCACGTATTATTCCACAAAAAAGAATTCCTCACATTCTCTTCTTCTACAATGTTTCTCTCTGTATTGACTTTTCTGGATAAATGACGCTCAAAGAGATGAAGGCCAAGCGAAGAAAGAAAAAAGTACCAAGACAGATCCACATAAAAAGTAGCAGCAGCCACTGAAGGACAGAACAAAAGCAACAGAGAACACGACCTCAGTCAACGTGCTTTCATTTCCTTTTTAATTCAACTGCTAATATTGCTCACACTGTTTTGACCGTCTCTGTTGATTCTGTCTCTCTGCATTGTAAATTCCCTGAGTTGGTTAAATTACACGTTGTTTAAACAAACGCCGTTTTCTGCAACCAAACATAGCCGCACAGTAGCCGCCCTGTTTCACAGAGAGATCTACAAGGTCACTGCCAGGTCAGCAGTTATTCTAATAACTAAATATAATTGTTTTTTTATTGAGACTTAAGTCAGTCCTGGATTCCCGCGGGCAAACTCCGTCCCATCACAACAATGTCCCATTGAGGACTTTATCATGTGCACCAGAGAGATTATGAGATCCAACGGATCCCACCACAAACCCAGCCAGCACATCCAGCGCGAGGTCAAAGGGGGCGGAGTTTCAACGGCTTTACTCACGCCAACGTGGTGACAGTGACTTTCCGCGTTCCTCAAAATGACGCCCCGATACAATCAAGCAGGTGAGATGCCAAATAGTGGCTGGTGTTATCTAATGTTTTCAATCTCCGATGCACATCCCTCTGTGAGGCCACAAGCCCAACAGGTCTGCCGACGCCCCGCATTGTCTAACCAGGGTGAGACACCGGCATGACTAGTTCACACCTGTGTGGGAAAGTTCAAGAATGGCAGGGAGGTTCGAACATGACAGATTTATGGAGTTTTTGTGGCAAAACACAGGCACGGAGTGTTCAGGAGCTTTGCCTGCGGGTGCTGTGGAGGTTGTGGGGGAGGCTATGCGGGGGCGGATGGGAACCAGTGGCTTTTACATAAACACTGTAACGTTGTTATTGGGAATTAGCACATGGTGGTGATTGTTTGATTAAAGCTGAAAGTAAGTTAATATGATTTGTTTGATAATTGAGTTAATGTCCCGTAGAATGTAGCCCGGAGGAAACGTCCTATTAGCGCCATGAAATCAGAGGGGGGAAACTGCTGGTGTTCACACAGTTATTTACATTATAATGTGTAATCCTCCCCAATCAGCCATGATCCCCTTTTATTAAACCCACTTTTTACACAGAAAATATTAGTTTTTGTTTGCAGTGTCTACTTACTAAATGCCCCGGGGTTGGAGAACGGGAGTCTTTCAGTCCCGCAGATCCGGGAACGTCCAAAATAGGCCATTTCATCTGCAGGTACTGCGGGTGACAGGAAAGGAGCCGAATTATGAAACAGAACCAAACATCCGGCAGGGAAATCATACGCAGCAACCAAAACAACAAACATACGTACGAATTAACAGTATGCATAAAAAAAAAGTAAATCCAACGGCCTTTGAACCCTCTGGTCATTATTGTTACTCAACCGAAGGGGGCTGAGGAGCATGTGAAAGTAGGAAGCATTGGCGTCAAGCCCACGGAGAGCAGACACCTGTAGCAGACCCACACCGCGGTCAGACAGGGATCTCTGGCACGCCGTTGAGCGGGGAGAGCGATGTGAACACAACGGACTGGTGGAGGACTGTGAAATTGCCGTTTGTCAAGGAAAAACAAGAGCCCAGCTGTGTGCGCCCATCGCTGAGGGGGTGGGAAGAGACAGCTGGAAGGAAGCCCCGTTTACAGAGCGGCACACAGAGGTTGAGCTGCAGACTCCGAGCTCACTGCCGTCTCCATTGGTTTGGCCTTTTGACCCCGGTGGGTGGGGGGGGGCGGTCCCTCCTGCATTCAGCATCACTACTTTACACGCATGTATCAAAAAGTTATCACAAAAGGGGTTGTGTAAGTGTTTGCTTTTTTCTTCGCAAAACAAAGATTTCCTGCACCGTAGTGCCGACGGTCGCTCCGTCGCCGCTGCTCCGCCGCAGCACGTGCACCCGCGGAGGGGTTTTAGGATTTATTGCTTCATACAACAAGCTCTGCATTTACTTTCCTCCTCCAGCAATGGAGATAGCATGGAGCCAGAGCTCCAAAAAAAAGCGCTGCTCAACCATCTGGTTTATGAATCAGTTTAAATACCGGACACAGCGGCTTGTCATGCATGAGGCTTTTCTCAGTGCACTGGTACGATTTCAAATTAATTAACAGGGTTTAATGTATCATAGACTCGGTGTAGCTGATCTAGACCCATGTAGCGCAGAGACATAACGGTATCATAGCACATTATTAAAGAGGCCTTTCGAGGCCGGGAACATTTCATGGGTTTTACATTCTGTCTGGACGTTGCAATTACACAATCTTCTCATGCGTCCTCTATTTCTGTTCTACAGTGTAAACTGTGATTTTTATTTAAATAGCATTGCGCTCAACAGTTTGGTGTCCGCCCACAGCAAACATCTGACGAACGCAGAAGACAATAAATAGCATCAGGCATTTTAAAAATGAGCGACAAAAAGCAGTTTAAAGAATTCATCCAAAGCGTTGTGTGCTCGCATTAAGCAGTCGCAGGATGAACGATGAGGAACGAGCGGACCGGAGGAGTCGTGCGTTCAGGTTCTGATTTTTAAAACTTCATTCATCACTCAGGGTTTGCAGGGAGGAAGGAAGCTAGGATGGCCGTGGTTTAAAAAGGGAAAAGACATTATAACAGGAGGAGGGGGGGTGGGGGGGGAGAGGAGGGAAAAAAAAACATTTTCAGGAATGAGTTTGTCGGAGCAGGCACAGGGTATTGTTTCCTGACAGCTGGGGTCCAACAGAGACCGAGGCGGACGGGGGGGGGAAGAGGGGGGGGACCCTTTTTCCCTTCGAAAAAGGGGGGAAATTCTTGGAGTTGACATCAGCCCTCTCTCGTTTTCACTATACTGCTCAAGGCTGAATCCTAAGTTCCCAACTAATGGGCCCAGGTCCATACAACTGTCAGGAGGCAGTTGCTTTTGAGGCTGCTATTGAAACTTTACTCTGCTGTGTGCACGGCGCCTAATGAATGCCGCTCTCCGGAGGAAAAGGGGGAAAAAAAAAATCTGAAAACAATGCAGTTTTCTCTGTCTAATCTATGTCAATCATGAGTCCTTCCACCAGTGAAACCTGCGCTATTGTGAGCGTTTGGTCCTACCCTGCCGTGCCCACCCGGGCTCTCCCACCCAATCCATCCCTCATTTGACAGCTTCTGCCAGGACCGAGGAATATGCCCACGGGCACTTTTGCTTATTCTTTTTTAAACTTTTATTTTAATTGCCAGCATGCCCTTATGGAACAACTGTTCACACACTAACGCTGAAACATCCCAGCAGGTAATGCCAGCCGCACGCTGTCACATTAGCTCCAGCCCACCGACACATGAGAGGGGGAGAGAGGGAGAGAGAGGGGGGGGAAGGGGGTGTTTGGGTCTGTGAGTTGTTTCAGGGGAAACAAAAGGCTTGTGGGCCATGTTTCTCAGCAAAGAAATTCTCAGTGAGACCACAAGGGAAGAGTAAGAAAAAAAAGGTATGGACAAACGAATGACCGCCAAATGAATGATTCAAATGGTTTGGACGTGTGATATTAAATGGTTGTAAAAAAAACAAAAACAAAAAGGTCACGGCAGGAGATACGCTATCGCCAATGCAACTCCAGGACATTTAGCGACGCTTTACACGTGCCCTTATTTTAGAAGAAACTAATCCGCACATATGGCCGGGTGCATAGCAACGTCGGTTTCGTCGCAGGAGCTGGAAGCTCTGGTAAATATACTCGGACAGACTACTGAAAGAAATGTGTGACTAAAGTGAAGTTTAGCTGATCCATTTTCACAGCTCTCTAATTGTCTTCCAGCCCTCCTTGCTGCCTCCAACACTCAGAATAGACATCAGTAGAATGTGCTACTTTTACGGGGACCCAGATGCAACAAAGGTGGCAGCGATGCCACTGAAATTTTCCAAAAAGGCTGCACTGGAGCCCTTTGGTTTTTTGAACAGAGAGAATACAACATATGCTCTGGGGCACGTTGCCTGCCAGAGCTGGGTTCTAATTGTTACATCGCTCTCACAGAGCGAAGGAAAACACAGCCAAGAGTTCTTTGTCATCTCTGAAGTGTGTGTGGTGCTGTACTGCGGGCCAACATCAGAGCACGGAGAGGAGGCATCTGCCTCTTCTCAGATGCCTCTTGAAAGCGAATGTCTGGACATTCGCTTTCAAACTAAGTCAGACGCTCTGCCAAGGGGACTGAAAAAAAAAAATCCCAAACTTTAGCTACTGTCTGTCGACTTCAGGGCCCGCAAAATCCAAAAAATAATATTACCGTGGAATTACATTACAGAGAAAGTAAAACTACAAAAGAATATGCTTTAAACCTTTTCTTGATTCTGGAAAACAGCGGATATGCATATTAAAGATTCCCATCTCAAACCAACGATATGTTATTGCATCTCATGCTGAATTGCGTCAACGCAAGAAGTCGAAAGCAAACAGTCCGAGTAAGTCAAACAACAAATAAAAGAGTCAATATGTATAAAGTGGCCGCTCAGACGCTTGTGAAATGGCCCGGCCTGGCTTGTGTTGAATAGCAGAGCAGGCAGGAATGCCTCGACAGATCGCTCCGGCAGATAATGTCAATCACCTACTGTGTGGAGAGACCCCCTCCCCATTGTTTTCTTTTACCCCCCAACAGAAAACAAATGGGCCGCACAGCTTGCTGTTCGGCTGAGGTGTTAATTACCGTCCCTTGCCCATATGAACAGCAACTTCAGACAATGGCCCTGTCAGGCCCCCTGCACAACAGTCCCTCCCCGGTTTGCTCTACTTATATCACCTGCTCCTGCAGGGCCATTGACACCTCAACCTGATCTATGCATGAAACACAATTAAAGCTCCTACAACAAAGGCGACGGGATAAGTAGCCCCCGCCTTGTCTCAGAGTTTGCATTAAGAATCATTGTTTACCAACATTAGAGGCAATTACATTGACAATTCTTAAGCAAACTTCGGCAGTCATTGTGCTAATTAGTGTGTAATTGATGGGGAAACGACAAGCAGCTCAGCTGGTTGGACCCACAATGCACTACTGTGCCGCTGCAGATTTTTCTGAATGGGGACCATGTCCTATTATCCGGTCCACTATGAAGTAAGTAGATAAGACAGGGAGGAAGTTATTAATTGAATCTTAAGAGAAGGTACAAATAGAAATAAACTCCTTACTATGTGTCTTGGTGGGTGTGTAATTGGTGGAACATTATAGTAATCAAATAGTAACATAAAAAAAGACGACCTGGATTTCTGATGTGTGAATAAAAACCACATCAGGAACATGTCAATTTAAAGTTTCTTTACATCAAATTGGGCCTGACAAGTTTTTGGTCCTGCAGTGGAGACGCCGTACCGCTAACGGCTACAACATTTGAAGTGTCCATTAGCCCATAGAGGAATGAAGTTAAGTGACTATGACAGGGGCACTCCCTCGGTTTGCTGGGCCTCCATTGTGACCCGGTTGGTCGTCCTGCACTCTTATTCACAGCTAGTAAAAAAAACTGGGTCAAAGGTCAGACATCCAGAGTGCTGGGGTTTCTATGGCAACGTGGCCTATTAAGGCCAGGCTCATTGGCCTCTTAACATGCTCTTGTACACAAAAGAACTATTAGTGCAAAGAGGGAGAGAGGAGAGTGAAGAGGGGAGGCAGCGCGAGGGAGGTCCTAACAACACAACGACAAGGTTTTTCCAAGATTTCCAAGATGGTCACACACTCGGCCTGCAGCTCCAAAGATGTGGTCTATGTGTAGCATGGATGGGATATCAGTAGCCCCTGAAAGACACTGAGAAGAAACTGTGTATGTCGTTGATTCATTGTAGGAATTATATTCTTGTTAGCTGTTACTGTGTAGATTTACTGGAAACTTTTTCCAATACTCAATCTTTAAAAAACTCAACGAGCAAAGGGTGTCACATGACCGCATCATGCATGTTCTGTACAAGGCCAAGGTGGCCAGCAAACTGGGTTTATTAGAAAAGTCCTGGGCGTGAATTTACTGCTGTTTCAGTAATAAAGGAGCATTAACACGACCCAAGGCCAAGATAACCCCCACCCCACACCCAAAAAGAGCTTCTTTAATACTCTGCCCCATGAGTCTGCTGTGACTTCAGCAGCAGTTTGCCTTTTTGCAACACTAATTATTTGTTTCAGCTTTTTTTTTCTTCTTCCTAGTGCATGACATGATCCTGAGTTATTGCTTCCTGTATCCACGACTTTAGAGCTCATGTGAGTCTCCAAACGAAGCCGCTATTGTTCTACTCATTCTGTCTCGCACACTTTCAGCTCCTTCAAATCGGGCGAGGGAACAGTCCAGCCTCGCTGAGGTTAAACGTAGGAATAA